TAGAGAATGATTATATCATATGGATAAATTAACTATAATTCATAAACTTCAAAATTCTATACTAATATCTTCTAAACATATCGAATGATTTGTAAAATTGTTTTTTTCTCAGAAGAAAACTTCAACAAATAAACAATGTCAAAGTATTTTGAACTAAAACAATATATCACAATACAAACATTACTATATTTCAAAACTCTATGAGTTATGTAATTAACATTAGCAATCATATAGCTCTACAAAATTATTCATTTTCTGATTTACAAATATAAGATTTTCAATGAAAAACAAAACATTATGTAATAATATAAAAATAACGAAACATATATATTCAATATTTAAATTTTATAATTAATATGTTTATTTATTTTTGTTGTGTTCATTTTTCTTCATATCTATTAATAAATCTGATTGTTTGATTAAACTATTAGATATTTTTATCATACGAGAAGCATTCTAGATTTGAAGTATTTATTAATCTTATATTTTTTTCAAACATATTATTCAAGATTTTCTTTTATGAAGATTCTCAATGAATATAAAATTTCCTATTGAACTTTTGATATTTAAAAAATACTTCTCTAAATGTATCAAATAAGAAAATTTATTCAACAAATGATCTGACCTTCTTTTTTTTATTTTTCCTCAAGGTTCACAAGTTACTATTTTAAGAACATTTAATCGATTAGTATCCTGACGTAATAAACATGAGAGGAAAAAGTAAACTGCGCGTTTGTTACAATTTCAACATTACTAGAAGAACGAATAAAATAGAGTATGTTGTTATTTCTTTTTTCTTATTAAACAATGATGAATTCCAAGAACACATACAACATATACATAGTAAAAAGAACAATGCTTATCATTGTGGTTCTTGGCCGTCGAAGAACACTCAAATTTTTTTTGTTCTGTAGTTTTTTTCTTTTTTATTTTGTTTTGTTTTTTTTCGGAAATGATATGAATATAACATCGAATATTCGTGATATTAATTTAACATCATTAATAGTTGAAGAAATAAATGATAATGAAATAATTAATAGTACAATAACAACAATAATAACAACAACAACAACAATAAAAACAACGACAAGTATATTTTTTCGTTTATTTAATACAACAAGAATATTTCCTTATTTACGTCAACCATTATTAACATCATCAACATCATCATTATTAAATAAATATTTTATATTAAAAACACAATTTCATATTATTATGCGTATTGCTGAATTATGTTTATTAAGTTTAACATTACCATTATATGCAATTGCTTTTATACTTTTTATTCAATTAACTGTATTACGTATAAATAGAAATACAGCTATATCTGGTGGTGGTTCACGTAGTCGTAGTCAACGACGTCAACAACGTATGCGTAGTCTTATATGGACATCAAATTATTTACTTGTTGATTTTCTTAATCTTTTAAATGAACTTGCTTATGTTATTATACATACAACAGGTCAATTAGCACTTGAATCTTTGGCTGGCCGTTTTTATTGTCAATTACAAGTTTATGTACCATTATATTTAACTGTATTGATGGCATACAGTTTAACAGCTATATCTATTTATCGTCGCCGTCATTTTGTTAATTTAAACATGCAATTAACACAATCAAATAAGACATATATTATAATGATGATTGCACTATGGATTATGCCAATAATAACCTCAGTTATTCCAACTTTTTTATTAGCACATTTTAATATTTTAAAAATAACACAACATGAAATAACAAATCAATGTCAAATTTCGTATACATATAAATCAAATGTTGAAGCTATTTATATATTTTATAGACTTGGTAAAAAAAAAAAACGAGAAAAATGAAACAATATTTTAAAAGAATACATTCAGTGAAATTCTAATATAGAATATAATGAAACTATTCTTAGTGTAAATAAGAAGAATTTTTCGATTTGAGATAATCAGTCATCGAAGAACTGATGACTAGTTTCTTTAAAAATATTTAAACAACTCAGTTCTAGATATACGACAGCTTCCATTGTATAGAGTGAACAGTTCTTTTTTTGACAATTGAAACATATATTGAATAGATTTACTACATTACCATTTATCAATCGACATAGTTCATAGAATTGTGTTTGTTTGTATGAGTAAAAACAAACACTCATATTTTATGTTGTATGTCCTTTTCCCTTAATAATCTTATTATTCTTTTTAAGGTATGAAAAGTTCATGATTAATTTCTTAAACATATAAAATTTTCATTAATAAGAACTTTTAAGTATTTATTATTTTAATATTCACATCACTGTATAAGTTTTTTTTCTTATTAGAATAATGATTAAATATTTCTTTTGATCTAATATTTCATTTTTAGGTAATATATTTCTTTTACCAATATCAATATCATTAGCTTGTTATATAAGAATTTATGTTGATTTAGTACGCATGCAACAACGTTTTACTCGAGTATTTAAACGTCATGTACATATAAGAAAAAATCTTATATCACAAATACTTTTTTTATTTCTTAATTTTGCTGTTTTTTGGTTACCTGCTGAAATAATAATGCTTTATACAAAAACTCATCCACTTAAAGATGCTATACAAGTAACAAAATCTTTAAATATTCTTCTTGATCCATTAATTATTGCTGGTTTTGATACACGTTATTCATCAGCTGGTCAACAATTATTATCACGATGGCCATTTAATCAATTTTTATGTCTTTTTAATATTATTCCACGATATAATTCTTCAACATCAACATTAGCAACTATAAGAAATCGTTTAGGACATTCACAACAACCAATAAATGAACAAATGGCAACAGTTGCTACTTGGAATATAGCTAATAATGATGATATAACTCTTTTAGAATCAGCATCAACTCATTCTCTACAAGTTCAAAGAGCAAGACGACATCAACAACAATCACCATCGTCATTAAATCAACGTCAAACAAGAAATAGACGAGCAAGATCAAGGCAAAGACCCATGCAAATAACTGAAAATCATGTTTAAATTTTATTTTTACTTATTTAAGAATATATAAAGTTTGAAAAATAAATGTGCCAAATCATAGATAGTATCAAGATTAAACTTAATAAAGGAAAATAATATATCATCATTCGACTCAAGATGGCGAATTACCCATGTTTAGCTGCTTTTCTAGATGATTATAAGTCAATTGGCTGAAATCGAGAGTTTCAGCAAAAGTCTTATAAGCCTTCGATGTTCCTAAGTTTTCTCTTTTGAATAATGGAAGTCGTAGGTCTCTATGATGTTTCTAGTAAAAGTTATTCAAAAAAAAATAGTAGAACATATTACATTTTGACATGGATAGTAATTCCTATTAAATATTGTACGTACAATTATTTATATGAGAGTCTGCTTTTTTTTCAAGTCTTAATAAAAGATTAATAAAAAGTTAATTTTTAGCAATGCTATGATAAATATTGCTTTGTAATCTCGAGAACTTTTACAAAGAAGATTCTGTAAAATGCATCAGCCCCTTATTTCTTTTTCAGAACTTTGTGCTCTTTAAAATTCCACTCCTAGAAGTTAAGTTTTACGCAGTCTTGGTGGGTGTATGGTAGAGAATTTCATGAGCTATTCAAACGACTATTTCGATTTATCTTAAATGCTCGAAATCGTAGAAAAAGAACAACCTACGCAAAAAGAAATTAGGACAGACAAAAATGTGTTAATAATCGAATTTTTGCATTGGTATAGTCTAACACAAAACCTTAGTCAATAAATATACCTATCGGGTACGATTGCAGGTTTTCTACAGGCCACTTCATTCTTCCGTTTCTCTTAAATCTTCATTTTTAAAAAATCGACTTTTTTTGATGAAAAGATGTCTGGAATAGAAAGCTGTTTGTGGGAAAGTGCTTATAGTCATTCCAGGTGCTTGAGCGCTTTCAAGTCGAGACTTAGCGCATCGTGTAGATCTTAGTAAACTGTGTCTATGGTAAAAAAAAAATAAGTTCGTGCTTATGGCTTGTTTTGAAGGAGATCGACCATTCTTACTTTTACAACTGTATGAGCTGTTTTATTAGGAAAAAAGTACTATCTCAACAAGTATAAGTTGAAATAAGTTAAGAGTTTTGTCACAAATACTTGTACACATATGGAAGATAATATGAAAGTTTGAGCTCAACTACACTTATAAAGTATATAAAATTGTAGCACAACATAAATGCTCGAGATTCTAAACGTTTCAACCAGAATACATCTTAAAAATCTGCGAAATAGTATAATTAATGACAGATAGATCGATATTAATATTTTTTTTTTAAAACTAATAATTCGAACTTTCTAAGATTGTTTGAGCTCAAGCTTTCACATTATCTTTCTTATGTGTACGCAAGTATCTGTGAGAAAAATCTTAACTCGTTTCAACTTACACTAGTTGAGATAGTACCTTTTTTCCTAATTAAACAGCTCTTACAGTTGTAAAAGTATGAATGACCGATCTCCTTCAAAACAAGCCATAAGCATGAACTTATTTTTTTACCATAGATACAGCTCACTAAAATCTATAAGATGCACTGAGTTCATACTTGAAAGCGCTCAGGCATCTGGAAATCTTTCTTCATGAGATTTAATGCGATTTTTTCTGAGACGAACGTCAGTTCTATTATATAAGGAAAAAATAAAATATGAATATTTAACTTGCTCGTATTTACATGTTGAAAAATTCTCAGTCATATTAGTTTGATCGGTCGAATGTTTGTATTGTTACACGGAATGATCTTATTGCAACAAATGTCAAAGTATATAGCTCTCTAATAACATACACAAATATGCATTTCTAATAACTTCAATATTCAGCACTCAGGTTATGAATCTATTATTCCAATACAAATCAGTGATCATATGACACTCTTGAAAAGATGAATTCATGATTAATACTATCTGATTGTTATTTTAAATATAATTGTTCGAGAACTTTTATTTATTTATGTTTCATGTAATGTAAATGACATACATAGGAAATTGAATGAAAATTGTTTCTTATTGCTATGAATCGTCATCAAGAATTAATAATTGAAGCATGGGAAAAACCAAGGTTGTGATCGACATTTACTTGGATTGAGTATGACAGCATAATTAACAGAAAAATTAGTCGAAGTTACAAATGATTCATCATGAATAAAAAAAAAAGGTTTTAGACGAAACAATTTTATTTTATCTACAATTTATCTTAGTTTCAATACATCATTAGCTGAAATAGCATCAATATGTTTAAATGATTGTGAATTTTTTTTATCGAATTGGTAATAATGCATAAGAAAAAATAAACATGAGTATAGTGATATAATTATGTATTGTAGAATAACATTTTTCGTCGCTACTTATCGAAATTGTGAGGATACGAATGCACAAGTATTAGCAGATTTGATTGAATGTATTTTAATTGAAGTTAAAGCATCTTTTATGAAATTAAATTTGTAAATATAAATTCTTTATATTTTATGACAGAATGTAAGTAATATATTTACACTTGTGATTTGTTTTTTTCTAATCAGTCGTTTATTTTCATTGAATTTATATAGATATCACCAATTTTTATGTTCTTTGTTAATATATGTAACGATCTGAGTAGAACTCATTGAATTCGAGTCTAGAAATTTTTGTAAAACATCAATAGACAAATCGAATGTTCAATAATTTTTTTTAACGGAATGTATCGAAATTCCTAAAACTTTTCTCTTTACAACAATATGTTATATTGCGCAAAAATTTGACCAGATCTGACCATCATTTATTACGTGTAATGACTCATATGCGAGATTTAATTATTAAGCTTAAAATTGAAAAAGTACGTCTCAGTTAGTTTTCTTAGGCAAACATATAAAAGCTTAATATTTTGAGTATGAAACTAACTTCATTAGGCCTACTCATTTTCAAAAGATATAAATGATCGCCTCTCTTACAAATATACGTCAAAGCAATATGTTCTTATTCGAACAATTGAATGATTTGATGACGAACGTTGGCAATTATTGCCATTTTCCATCAATCGATCTTGGAGAAAAGTTATAACTGTGTTTCATTTGATTTTTTGAGTTTGTCAATTTTTTCGAGAACTTTGCCATGAACTTGAACAATATCATAATCAACTTTAGCTGATAAATATTAGCAATGTTCTCGAAAATGATCATCATAGAATGATCATTAACATGCTTGATATGTTTATATCACTTCATTTGTTTGACATACTGCTCATTGATCAGATCGTTTTCATGTTACCATAGTTTTGGATATAAAACTAATACTTAGGGCGTACCAAAAGTTCGTAGCCCGATGTTACTTAACCATAGAGTAACCTTTAAAAAACCTTCTTTCTATACAGTCTAATAGAGAAAAGAATGCTCTATTTTTCTATGCTATTTGATCATACTTCAGCTAATATCGTGATAATAAATTTTCGATAAGACTTCTTCATTATCATTTGTGCTTGTAGTACTGGATTACAACGGATGAATCAGGTTAGTTTTCAATCCCTCAATACATTGTATTAACGAACTAAAATATACTATAAGATGCAGCGTGAAAGCTCTACAATTTACATAAGATCACTTACTGTATAGTTGCACTTTTCGTTATCAAAATGAACAAAGTTTTGAGGGTCAAATTCTGAGCATTGCAAAAATTGGTCGCAGATAATTTTCCTTCTTTTGAAAACAATTACAATAAGCTTTACTATGAAGACTGTAGAGCTTTTCGCGCTGCATCTTGTGGTGTATTTTGTTTTCTTTTGATAAAGCTTTTCAAAAAAAATTTTTTTTTTTGTTCTAATGATATTATAGGAATATCGGTTGGTGCATTATCAATGCTTGTACCTGTATATCAATCAGAAATAGCTACAAAAAAAATTCGTGGACGTCTTGTATCACTACAACAATGGGCTATAACAATTGGTATTGCAAGTAGTTTTTGGATTAATTATAATAAATAATTATAAAAAAATTTATGAATTTTAATATTATTTATTATTTTAGGTACAAATATATATTTTTTAGGTAGTAGTGCTGCATGGCGTATACCATTAGCATTACAAATAGTACCAGCATTAATTCTTGCTATAGGTATTTTATTTTTTCCATTTTCACCACGTTGGTTAATGACTCAAAATCATGATAATGAAGCATTAGGTATTTTAATAAAAATACGTTCATCATCATCATCAATTGATAGGTATTAATGGTTGTGTACTTATATTAGCAACAATATCAGCTATTTTATTTATTGATAAATTAGGTCGACGTTTTATATTAATTAGTGGTGCAATACTTATGGCTTTATCAATGTTAATTATGGGCGGAACAATGGGTATATATGGTTACACATATTTTAATGAAACAATTGGTACTATTGAAGTTATTATATCAAATCGACAAGCATCATATATTATTATAAGTTTTGTTTATATATATATATATATACATAATGATCTTATTCAAATTTATCGTTTTTAATTTATATTAAATGAATGAAATAAAAATATTTTGCATGGTTTTCTTTTTTTTCTAAAAAATATTAGATTAGAATGTATTAAGATCAAGGAAAAGATGCTTTAAATACGAAATCTTATTCAATTAAGTAATTTAACTATCTTTTAAATACATACATGAATTTAATAAAAATTAAAATGAATTTCAGACTTCTGCTTATTTTAAAAATTTAAAATTCTTTTATATCAAACATTTTGTTATATTTTCGACGTATTGTATGGAAAATTAAAGATGTTTAACTTAAAAATAATTATAACTCTTTGAATAGATTAGATGATTCTACAAGTTTTTGTTAAAACAGATTTTCATTCTAAATGTATTAAAATACATATTGATTAACTATATTGATTTTAATATAGATCTTCTGGAAGATCTCGGGTATATTAAAGAAAATCTTGTCAGTCAATATTTTATAAATTCTATCAATGATTCGAAAATATAGAAAATGAATAATCTGTTCTGGATTCTTCTTAGTATGAACGAGAACTATGTTTATCTATGGTAGTGTATCGAACGAGTAGTATCATGTATAGATAGCCATTATAAATATGAAGAAACTTGAACGATTAAAAAAAAAGATAAATTTTTATAAGTGTCCTGCATGAAATTTACTAGTAAACGAGAAAAAAAACGATTTCGTGAAAATATCGTTATTTTCATTTACTTTTGATTACATGATGTCAAGAGGATTATAAAAAACTTATCAAAGGTAATTAATTTTAAAGACGAAGTTTATGATGTTTTTTTTTTGTGTCCTATCTTTATAGTCTTACAGCAAAATACATTCAGGTGAAAGTATACTAATATTAAGATAAAGACAGCTTATAGAAAAATAAAAAAGAAATTATACAAAATCCAATATCTACTAGTCACATAAATGTTTAGTTATAGTTAAAAACCTGTCGCTGCAGCACCGTGGTTGAGGGTCCACGAGAATTTACTCTTATCCTGTTTTACTTTTCTATACACTATGTACTCCCTTTAGTCCCTTTAGTCCTTTTAGTGCCTTTAGTCCTTTTAGTCCATCTAGTCCTTTTAGTGCCTTTAGTCCTTTTAGTCCTTTTAGTGCCTTTAGTCCCTTTAGTCCCTTCAGCTCGTAAGAGACGTTAACTACACATCACATCATTTCAGTTGTATTCATTTCTATTTTTAGTTTAGTCAAATTTTATATCTTCGAATGATTACAAAGCTTTATGATGGAATTTAAAAAAAACAATTTATTTTTTATTAGTGAATGTTAGGATCGGACATCTATATGTATATATATATATAGGATGTGGGTGTGTGGGTTTGGATGGGGTGAGGGTGGATTTGGGTTAAACAGACGGTTACATAGGTACCCACACCCTATATATATACATATAGATGTCCGATCCTAACATTCACGAATAAAAAAATAACTTGTTTTTTCAAAATTCCATCATAAATCTTTGTAATCATTCGAAGACATAAAATTTGACTAAACCAAAAATAGAAACGAACACAACTGGAATGTTGTGGTATGTAGTTAACATCCCTTACGAGCTCAAGGGACTAAAGGGACTAAAGGGACTAAAAGGACTAAAGGGATTAAAGGGATTAAAGGGATTAAAGGGACTAAAAGGACTAAAGGGATTAAAGGGATTAAAGGGACTAAAAGGACTAAAGGGACTAAGGGGACTAAAGGGACTAAAGGGACTAAAAGGACTAAAGGGACTAAAAGGACTAAAAGGACTAAAGGGACTAAAGGCACTAAAAGACTAAATATCATTTATAAAAAAGTAAAACAGGATAACAGGATAACTTTTATTTTTCGTGGACCTATGCCGTGGTTCTACAAGAGACAAGGCTACCGTACTACTTCTGCGATAGTTTTCAAGAAACTTCTCAAAAATCTCTTCCGTAAACTGTACCTAATTATCATGTTAATATTGATTCTATAGTATTTTAAAAACATCTCCCGGATTGCTATGACTATTTCCGACGAGTTGTTATTCATGATAAGTTTAGTAAGCATTGGTAAAAGAATATTTGACACCAAAGAGATTGAAAGTCAAAAGGTTACGAGCTATGTGCATCTTCTATTGGTTCATTGATATGAGGGCATTCGGTCGCTATGCAGTTAAATATTCTGACCTCATGACCCATACATGCTGCCTAGTTATTCTATGCTCTATCAATCTTTTCTTTGCTTCCTCTTTTGTATATAAGCTCGTGTTCTATATACAATGGACTGATAGAATAGTGTAGTGAACATCATACATCGAACATAGTATTAGTGCTATTTATCCAGTTTGTCAAGATTGATCAATACTAAAATCCTGCAGTAGTAATATGAAACAGTCTATCCTTCAGTTTCGTTACATTTAGGAAAACCTCTTTTAAGAGCAATAGATATAGCTTCTTTTAGATAAAATTTTTGTGAAATGCATCTGTGTGAGTAATTTCATCACTTTGTACCATTGTACTATTTACGTAGAATGTGAAATATTTTTCGATCTAATGCTTTCAATAGGCGTGTTCCATGAGAAAGTTGATATAGACTATCTTAAGAATGGTTAAACGTATCGAGTTGTCCTCTGGTACTTAAGGGTTTCTCGACATGCTCTTTCTTTTTTCTAGCTGACACTTTTGTCCAAAACGCTTGGAAGTAGGGTTTCTAGAAAATCGTGGTTTTGGAATCAATGGTCGCGAAACGTTTTTTGTTTTAACAGTCCATATTGATAGAGCAACCGATTCTCCACAAAATGAGATGTCTCCCAGCTCTCTACAACTTTTTTTGGCCGAGTTACATCAATTTTAGTGGAAGGCAAAAGCCGTTTTTTCTGCTATTTCCTCTGGGAAAAACGGCTTTTGCCTTTCACTAAAATTGATGTAACTCGGTCAAAAAAAGCCGTAGAGAGCTCGGAGACATCTCATTTTGTACAGAATTGGTTACTCTATCATTATAGACTATTAAAACAAAAAGATTTTCGTGACCATTGGTTCCAAAACCACGGTTTTCTAGAAAATCTACTTCCGAGTATTTTGGACAAAAGCAAGAGCACGTCGAGAAACCCTTAACTACCAAGGGACAGCTCGATACGTTCAGCCGTTGTTAAGATAGTTTTTTCATGGAACACGCCGCCTATTGTTTCTTTTTTTCTTAGTATATACCTGTTTAAACTACTCAAGCTCGATAATTAGTTTTTTCTAAGATTATCAGCAACAGTACGATAAATATTTTCTAGATGATTATGTCATAAAAAGAAAAAACTTTTTCAATAATCATTTCGAATCGTTTATACTGTGTATATGTGCTCATTACTTAAAAACATAATAGAATTTCTTTATTGAATACACAATTAAAAAGAGTATTCAATGTAGCTAGGAATCTTTAATTTTTCTTCGATATGCTTCATGTAATAAAAAGAAAATTACATAATCTTTTCTTGAGTATGATTGCATCATTCATTAGATATTTAATAATATATATATATAACTATCAAATGAAAGGAAGTAAAAAGCTAAATACTTTTTTGTTTTATTTTTATGATTGATAACGACCTCTATTGATGACATGTAACAAGCTGTAAAAAAAAACGGAAAAAATATTAGTCATTTAAAAAATTATCTAGTGCTTTTAGATTATCAAGTGTCACGATATTCATTCATTCATGATTGTATTGAATATCTTATTTTTTTAATCAACTAACTTTATTGATCAACAACAAAAACAAAAAAATAAAAATAAAGAAACATCATGGATTGGAAATCAGATATTATTTGTCAATTACAAGATCATAAACGTCAATGGACTGTATATGATGAAATCATACAACATTGTATACTTTTTTAAATCATATTTTATAAATCATATTGATTTTTTTTTTTTTATTTTTTATATTTAATAGATAATCGTCTTTTGGAAAATAATGCTACACTACAAATTCAATGTATTAAACTTGAAAATGATGTTAATCATTTACGTTTATCTAATGCTGGATTAGAAAAAGCATCCGAAGCTAGGTTAGTTTCATATATAATACATATCCTTCAAATGATTTTTTTTTTCATCTGTGTCTAGTCAAGAATTAGCAAATGTAAGTAATAAATTAACAGTAGCTAATGAAGAAGTTGTTATGCATTTACGTGAAAAAGGTGAAGTAAGTTTATCTTGAAAAACAAAAAAACAAAAAAAAATAAAGTTTGTTTCATTTTCTAAATTTTTTGTTAGCTTGCAAGAGAAGTTCTTCGACTTAATCATGCATTGACAGAAACTAATGAAAAATTAGCAAAAGTAGAAATTCAGTATGTATTACAAAAAAAAATAATAAAAGAAAATTAAATTTTTTTAATGTTTTTAGACTTGAACAATATAAAAATGAAAATAATTTATTAACTAATAAAATTGAAAAATCTGAATGTGAAGTTAATGATCTTGTACAAATAAATGAAGTATAAAAAGAATTACTTTCTTTTTTTTTATTATTTTATTTATAAATTTTTTTTATAATTAAGGTTCTTCGTGAAGAATTTTTAGCTGTTCAAAATCAATTAGATCAATTACAAATAGATTATAATCGAATAAAACCAACTTGTCTTGAATTTGAACGAGAATTAGAAAAAGAAAAACGTATAAGTGCACAACGTGAAATTGAATTAATGGAATGTAAAAAAGTTCAATTAGAAATGCTTAATGCTGAAGTTGAACGATATAATCAGTATGTTTAGTTTTTTTATTTTTTTTTTGCAATAAGAATAATAATCAATAAATTTAATAATTAAAATAAAAATTTTTGTTAAAAAATATATAAATCTTTTATAATTGATAATATTATTAAACAAAAAAATAGAATAACTATGAGATAATCCTATTTTAAAAAGACGACATTTATTAATAAATAGAAGATATGATTCATTTTATAAATAATTCATGATACTTTATGTGTCTTATCTTGACTTTTTTAAACATCAATGTGACGTTTTTCTTGTTTTCAATGAGT